ACCACGCCCCCTCGACCCGCCCCCCTCTTCCTCCTCCTCCTCCCACGGCCCCCAACCAGAAGCCCAGGCAGGGGGGAGGCCGCCCCCTTCACGTGCGGGGGGCCGAGGAGGGGGGGCAGTCCAACGACACGATGAGGAAGCTGGCCAGAGTGAACTTGGTCGTTGCAGCTGTGTTGTTCTTGTTGCAGGTGGGTCGTTGATGGTGCACGGGGCATTTCTTTAAAAATTATTTTTATTTTTGCTTAATTGTTTATCTATTTATGATTTGCTTATTGTTATTATCACTATCACTTTTTAAGGGGTTGTTGAATTCATTTTTTCCAGTTTGTCAAATGGATATATATATATACAATATATATATATATATACATATATATATATATATATACATATATATATATATATACATATATATAATCATTCAATGGAATGTGATTCCTCTGAATTAAGCTTAATATATATTCATAATTATTGGATATAATTTTTGAGCATGCACATAAACACACACATAGATACACATCCACACACACACACACACACACACACACACACACACCACACACACACACCACACACACACACACACACACACACACACACACACAAATACACAAACACACACACACACACACTCCCCCCCCCCCACAAACACACACCGAAACACAAATATCACTTACCCAGAACCACCAAACAACCGAAATCCTAACGATCTAACAACCAATTTAACCGCCTCTCACAGCTGATAGGAGCAGCCTGCTTATGCCGCCCTGTTGTCATCATGGCTGGACTGTGGGTCGCAATCCTGGTCCTGGCACAAGCTATCCTGGCACTGCACACGGCCGCTGGCACCTCGCACTCGCTGTAAGTAAGGGTGATTTTTGGCATTGTGGATGTCGGGTTTGGTATCGAGGGTAAGTGGTAGGTGGTAATAAGGTTATTAAGCAGATAATGAGGGTAAGTGGTAGGTAGTAATGAGGTTATTAAGGAGATAATGAGGGTAAGTGGTAATGAAGTTAAGGAGATAATGAGGTTGGTAATGAGGTTATTAAGGAGATAATAAGGGTGGTAATGAGGTTATTAAGGAGATAATGAGGGTGGTAATGAGGTTATTAATGAGGGTGGTAATGAGTTTATTAAGGAAATAATGAGGGTGATAATGAGGTTATTAAGGAAATAATGATGGTGGTAATGAGTTTATTAAGGAAATAATGAGGGTGATAATGAGGTAATGAGAGTAAGTGGTAGGTGGTAACGAGGTTATTAAGGAGATAATGAGGGTAAGTGGTAGGTGGTAATGAAGTTAAGGAGATAATGAGGTTGGTAATGAGGTTATTAAGGAGATAATAAGGGTGGTAATGAGGTTATTAAGGAGATAATGAGGGTGGTAATGAGGTTATTAAGGAAATAATGAGGGTGGTAATGAGTTTATTAAGGAAAATAATGAGGGTGATAATGAGGTTATTAAGGAAATAATGAGGGTGGTAATGAGTTTATTAAGGAAATAATGAGGGTGATAATGAGGTAATGAGAGTAAGTGGTAGGTGGTAACGAGGTTATGAAGGAGATAATGAGGGTAAGTGGTAGGTGGTAATGAAGTTAAGGAGATAATGAGGGTGGTAATGAGGTTATTAAAGAGATAATGAGGGTGGTAATGAGGTTATTAAGGAAATAATGAGGGTGGTTATGAGTTTATTAGGGAGATAATGAGGGTGGTAATGATGTTATTAAGGAGATAATGAGGGTGGTAATGAGGTTATTAATTAGAGAATGAAGGTGGTAATGAGTTTATGAAGGAGATAATGAGGGTAAGTGGTAGGTGGTAATGTAGTTTAAGGAGATAATGAGGGTAAGTGGTAGGTGGTAATGAGGTTATTAAGGAGATAATGAGGGTAAGTGGTAGGTAGCAATTAGGTTATTAAGGAGATAATGATAGTAAGTGGTAATGAGGTTATTAAGGAGGTAGTGAGAGTTTGTAATGGGTTGTAATGAGGTATAGGAGATAATGAGGGTAAGTGTTAGGTGGTAATGAGTTTATTAAGGAGATAATGAGGGTGGTAATGAGGTTGCTAAGGAGATAATGAGGGTGGTAATGAGGTTATTAAGGAGATAATGAGGGTGGTAATGAGGTTATTAAGGAGATAATGAGGGTAAGTGGTAGGTGGTAATGGTGTTATTAAGCAGTTAATGAAGGTAAGTGGTAATGAGGTTAGTAAGGACATAATGAGGGTGGTAATGAGTTTATTAAGCAGATAATGAGGGTGAGTGGTAGGTGGTAATGATATTATTAAGCAGTTAATGAAGGTAAGTGGTAATGAGGTTATTAAGCAGATAATGAGGGTAAGTGGTAATGAGGTTATTAAGCACATAATAAGGGTAAGTGGTAGGTGGTAATGAGGTTATTAAACATATAATGAGGGTAAGTGGTAATGAGTTTATAAAGCAGATAATGAGGGTAAGTGGTAGGTGGTAATGATGTTATTAAGCAGTTAATGAGGGTAAGTGGTAATGAGGTTATAAAACAGATAATGATGGTAAATGGTAATGAGGTTATTATGGACATAATGAGGGTACGTGTAGGTGTAATGAGGTTATTAAGCAGATAATGAGGGTAAGTGGTAGGTGGTAATGATTAAGCAGTTAATGAAGGTAAGTGGTAATGAGGTTAGTAAGGACATAATGAGGGTGGTAATGAGTTTATTAAGCAGATAATGAGGGTGAGTGGTAGGTGGTAATGATATTATTAAGCAGTTAATGAAGGTAAGTGGTAATGAGGTGCAGATAATGAGGGTAAGTGGTAATGAGGTTATTAAGCACATAATAAGGGTAAGTGGTAGGTGGTAATGAGGTTATTAAACATATAATGAGGGTAAGTGGTAATGAGTTTATAAAGCAGATAATGAGGGTAAGTGGTAGGTGGTAATGATGTTATTAAGCAGTTAATGAGGGTAAGTGGTAATGAGGTTATAAAACAGATAATGATGGTAAATGGTTAATGAGGTTATTATGGACATAATGAGGGTACGTTGGTAGGTGGTAATGAGGTTATTAAGCAGATAATGAGGGTAAGTGGTAGGTGGTAATGATGTTATTAAGCAGTTAATGAGGGTAAGTGGTAATGAGGTTATTAAGCAGACAATGATAGTAAGTGGTAATGAGGTTATTAAGGACATAATGAGGGTAAGTAGGTATGGGTTTTAATCAGTTAATGAGGGCAAGTGGTAATGAGGTTATTAAGCAGATAATGAGGGTAAGTGGTAATGAGGTTATTAAGCAGATAATGATGGTAAATGGTAATGAGGTTATTAAGGACATAATGAGGGTAAGTGGTAGGTGGTAATGAGGTTATTAAACAGATAATGAGGGTAATGAGGTTAGGACATGTAATGAAGGTTAATGAGGTTATTAAGCAGATAATGAGGGTTAGTGATTAGGTTGGATTAGGATTTAAATTTCACATTAAGGATAAATAATAATTAGTAATGAGGATAGCAAGCTGATAGTGAGGATGACGGTTCGATGGTAATGAGGATATTAAAATGATATTAGAGATGAGGGGAAATAAAGTAACGAAGATATTAATGCAACGCTGACGAAAAATATATAAAAGAAGATATTTGGTTTATATATATAAATATTTAAATATTCATATAAAAATATTTAGATATTTATATAAAAAGTTTAAATATATAAAAAAAGATTTGGTTTGACGTCATTTCAAAAGTTATTTAATGAGAGGCAATGTCAGAGAAAGTAAATAAACGTGACTTTCTATCGATTTTTGAACCTCTGACGTCATTAGTCTTCAGAACAAAAGCCCAAAGGAAATATCTAAAAAAATTATCTAAAAAAATGATGAAAAATAAATAAAAAATAAAATAAATAAATGATAAATAAATAAATAAATAATGATAAGCATCAGCACCAAGGCCCACCTAGTTATCTGGTTTCGTTTCAATCATTATAGCTATTCTTCGATTTTTCCATTCTTATTTACCTATTCATTATTGTTATATTATTATTTATATAAATGATGATAACGATAATAATAATAATAATATATAATGACATTATCAGTATTATTACTATTGTTTATTATTATTATTATCATGATTATAAATATTTCTTTATTAATATCATATCATTTATCAATATTATCATCATCATTACATTTTTGTTTTAATTTTCTCATCATTACAATAGCTGTCTCGAGAATTAAAAAAAACGTCCATATCATCTCCCTACAAAAATATACCATAATCCAAGCAGGTTAAATAATATTGTTAAACAAAAAATAAAAAAACATGAATACATTAACAAAAAGATAAAGGAAAAACAACAGAATGACACACACAAACACACACACACACACACACACACACAAAATGCATTGGCCTGAGTTAATCCTCATGGTCTCCCAGCTGATTGGCATTATTATTATGAAGCAAATTAGTTATGCGCTTTTAAAAGGATTCATTTCGCAACAAATGGTGCAACTTGGTGTAAATGACGCTATGAATATTATGCTCTCATTTGCCTAATCCAACATTTTTTTAAGGACTTAGCTATCAGGGTCCATTACGTAATGAAATCTGCAAGAGAAAGAATGCAAATTGGTGTGTTATGGTATATATACATATAAATACGTATACCGTTTATCTGTTTGTCTATCGGTATATCTATTTGAACATTTATCAGTCTTTTAATCGTTTTTTTCTGTTTATTCAAGTCTTATATTTTATCTGGTTATCTCTCCGTCCATCCATCTACGAGGGGCGTTCATTAAAGGTTTCCCCAGACCTACTTCCGCTTATTCTAGGAGGCTGAAATTTCACATGCATGAACAGAGATACACACTCTATAGGTCATGTGTTGATTTTCAGTCCTTATAGCAAATTTTCTAAGTGGGGAAATCCACAGTCTGTTGGATACGTTTGAAGCTATTAAGTGACTTTAGAAATCAGTACCACATCATCTTGGAAACGTTTGCCCTTCAAAAATGACTTCATGGATACAAAGAGGCGAAAATCAGATGGTGCAAGGTCAGGAAAATAAGCCATCGGTGTGAGAGATGCGAACAGGGGTGTCGTCTTATGGGAGGCAGACACGTATGGTTAACATTCTACACTTCTTGGCTTTGATAGCCTCCCGGAGTTTCTGTAGCAATGAAGTGTAATAAGCTTCTATAACTGTAATACCTTTTGCTGGGAAATCCATCATCACTACTCCATGCTGGTCCCAAATAGACTGTGAGCATGACCTAGCCTGTCGAGGGTGTGACACGTGCCTTTTTGGGAGGTAGTCAGTCAAAGTGCTTCTATTGATTTGACTGGGCCTTAATTTCTGGCTCATACTGAACCTTGGAACAATGGACTCGTTCCTGCTTCTAGAAAGCTGACTAGGGTCGCCCTGGGATAGGGTCCGTTTCCACAGATCTCCGACCATACCTGAACTGGCGATGCCAATGTTCAACAATGTCATATGAAGAGGCATCCTTCCCAGAAGTTGCTTTCATTTCATCAAAAGTCTCTTGTGGTGTGGTTATTCAAGTATAAACAACTGACTAGTGTTCGATAATCCATTGGTTCCATTTTCACACCTAACTGCACCTTCACCACTGTAACATAAAACATGTTATGCCATGTTAGGACTGGAAATTAACACATGACCTATATGACCGGACCTATAGAGATGCGTATTTCTATGCATGTGGGTCAGGGGATTCCTTTAACGAGCGCCCCACGTACCTCCCCATCCATCTCTCTATTAATCAATCTAACTATATGTATGTCTATCCATCTGTCTGCCTATCCATATCTACCTACCTGTTTATCTCCCAATATACCTAAAAATCAGCCCTACCTACCTACCAACCCACCTACCCACCTACTTAACGACCTAACGACCGACCCACCTATCTGTCCACACTCAAACAAGGTCTCAAAACGCATTATAACCGTAGCAATGTGCCAACAGGGTAGTAGGTCATGCATGGCTGTCTGGCATGGTGTGTCTCATGAACCTGGCTGCTGCTGGCTACCTCTTCTCGGGGCATCTTACTGTGGCCTGCGTGTCGACCTTCCACAGGCTCGACCATGCTTCGGGTAAGTGGCATTTGTGATGGTTTGTTTGTTTGTTTATTGTTGTATTTCTTGAATATGGAAGATAACGTGGAGGTAATGAGTGAAGGAAAATGAAATAGAACCCACGAAAGAGACAGACAGATAGATAGATAGGCAGACAGAGAGACAAACAAACAGAGAGACAGACAGACAGACAGGTAGACAGACAGACAGAGAGACAGCCAGACAGATAGAAAGACAGACAAATAGGCAGACAGACATACAGAAAAACAGACAGAGAGGCAGACAGACAATCAGACAGACAAACAAACACACTAAGACAGACAATCAGATAAACAGACACAGACAAACAAACAGACAGAATCAGACAGACAATCAGATAGACAGACACAGACAAACAAACAGACAGAATCAGACAGAAAAAAGACGAATAAGAAACCCCCCATAACCAACGCCCGCAAATCTAACCTTGCAGTGGTACGCCTCTACGTGGTGGAGGTGGTCGGCCTGGTGGCGTCCCTGCCGTGTCTCGCTGCCGCCGTGGTCGCCCTCCTGAGTGCCGCCCTCGCCGCCCGTGCCGCCTGCCCACCCAAGGTGAGTGCCAGGGAGTGCCATGTGGAAATACTCTTTTCCAACTTGAGCTTTTGTTTGTTTTTATTTTCTTGTGTGTGTGTCGTGTCTGTTTTTGTTTCTTTCTTTTCTTTTCTTTCTTTCTTTCTCTTTTCTCTTTCCTCTCTCTCTCTCTCTCTTCTCTCTCTCTCTCTCTCTCTCTCTCTCTCTCTCTCTCTCTCTCTCTCTCTCTCTCTCTCTCTCTCACACACCACACACACACACACATACACATACACACACACACACACACACACACACACACACACACACACACACACACACACACATATATATATATATATATATATATATATATATATATATATATATATATATATATATATATATATATATATATATATATGTCAATTATCAGCAAGTGTTTCGTCGCAATACTAATTACACGTATTTTTCCTTGCCATAAAAAAGTGTGAGTTAATTTTTCCCTCACACACATGCATGCATACATACATAAATATGTATGTGTTGTAAATAGTTGTGTGCATGTACTTGTTTGTGTGTCTGTGTTTGCACACACACACACACACACACACACACACACACACACACACACACACACACACACAACACATATAATATATATGTATGTATGTATGTATATGTATATACATACATACATACATACATACATACATACATACATACATACATACATACCATACATACATACACACAGAAACAATCCTATCCACATATATGAAATTACTATACATAAACCAGAAATGTGAAAAGTGCCCTAATCACAAACGTATATAGATTACCTTCGCAATTTAGCCACTAACTTTCT